GTTTAAATACTCTCAAAGGACAATTGACATCCCGTTTCCTTACTCTGCTCTGAACAGGCTGGTTAGCTGACCGGCTCATATGTACTCTCAAAGGACAATTGACATCCCATTTCCTTACTCTGCTGTGAACAGGCTGGTTAGCTGACCGGCTCATAGGCTTCTGAGGAGCTTCTGGTGAAGATGTTGATGTTTTCAGAGCAGCAAAGCACTTTTCTCTGGTTTCTATGTCACTCTGTTATTCAGAACTGTCTCTTGCTTCATTAATTTGAAATCCATCTTACTCCTAGAGAAAGGACAATTGACATCCCATTTCCTTACTCTGCTGTGAACAGGCTGGTTAGCTGACCGGCTCATAGGCTTCTGAGGAGCTTCTGGTGAAGATGTTGATGTTTTCAGAGCAGCAAAGCACTTTTCTCTGGTTTCTATGTCACTCTGTTATTCAGAACTGTCTCTTGCTTCATTAATTTGAAATCCATCTTACTCCTAGAGAATTCACGTGAATTTGAAACATACAGAAGGCGCATAACTCCCTCAAACCAGATGAGATTGCATTTGAGTTAGAACGTTGATTGCAGCCGTTTACTCCCAATGTATTACTTGCTTGTTCAGTCGTTTAGTCGTGTCCGACTCTTCGTGACCCCATGGACCAGAGCTTGTATTACTTAAATGATGATAATAATGGTAACGATAATAATCTTAGAACTGCAGAGCTGGAAGGGACCCAGTGGATCATCGAGTCCAGCCCCTGTCAAGGAGGCTCAGTGGGGAATCGAAATCCTAAACTCTGGGTCTGCAGCCACAGACCACTGGGCTATCCAGCAGTTCTCTAAATCTAAATATAGATAAATATTTCTGTGTCTGTAAAAGTGTTACTGCATTTATCATATACAATATACATCACCCTAGATTGATGATAATAATAATCATGTGCCATCAAGTTAATTCTGACTTATAGTGACCTTTTTCAGGATTTTCTAAGTAGAGTATAGTACTCAGAAGTAGTTGACCCTTTCCTTCTTCTGGGGATGCCCCGGGAGGGCCATACAGCTTGCCCAAGGACACACAGGCTGGCTCTGCTGGCAGGAATTGAACTTCCTACCTACTTAAATCCCTGAGCTACCCAGCCAATACCTCACCTTAATTACCACTGACAAGCAAAAGTCTTAAGTACACCTTTGACTGAATTATACAATATTAACATTGTACAGCCCAGCCCTTTTCAGATTAAGGGTGTGACTACAGAGCAAGAAAAACTGGAAGGGTTATTTTGTGATGTTGCACCTGGGAAATCAGATTTCCCCAGGTGAGTTTGCTTTTGCTGAACACCCACCCTGAGAGGAGAAAATTGGCAATCCACACTGTTTGCAGCTTCTTAAGGTAGCTCTGCGGGGTTCATCCAGGTTCGCAGGAGCACAACTATGTCAGAGCTACCTTAACAAGCTGCCAAGAACTACCTAAGCAAACAATCTCCTCCCTGCTCCCTATCAGACATACCGCAAGAGCAGAAGAAACAAAAACACAGATTTGGGGCAGGGAAAAAAAGAGGGTCAAGTTATAAGGGCCAGGGTAAAACAAGAAAAGAGGGTCCACCAGCATCTGGCCTCATCCAGTGAAAGAAAAGAGTCTGAAATTTGGGACGGACAAAGTGCAGGACTTCTTACTGCTGTGCATAATTAAGCCCTGGCATTAAACGCTGGCCCAAGAGGTTGCCACGGCCAGCCGCTAAGTGGGATGAAAGAGGAGCACAGGCTGCTTGTATATAACGCCTGCCTCCCTGTTCCAGTACGCCGCTGACGCTCAGGACAAGCACTGGCTTGCTGAACAGCAACACATGAGAGCCACAGGGGGCAAAATGGTGAGTGGAGCCAAGCCAAGGCAGGGCAGAGCAAGGGGCGGATGGGCTTGGACGGCGGACCGAGGGCAGGTGGTTCTGGGGAAAGCTGTGCTGCCCTTCCCTGCCGGAGGGCTGTGGGCCGTGTCCTGTTGGGAAAACCGTCTCCTCTCTTGGCAGCCGGAATGGAGGAGGAGAAAGGCCAGGCTGGGGCCTCGCCAGGGCCTCTAATGCCCGTGTTTTGCACCTTCTGCAGGCCTATCTCCTTCTGGAGGAGGATATCCAGCACCTCGCTGCTAGTGATGAGTACAGGTGAGTTCCTCCTTTGGAAAGGAAACTGGCATGGGGTGGAGTGGGAATGTTTGTCCCATGGAGCCAGGAAGGGCAGAGGGAGGAGCCCATGGGGAGCCAGCCTGGGGCCATCTGAATGGAGAGTCAAGCCAGCATTCCAGAGGGAGGGAGGGTTCAAGATTAATTACCCAGATTAATATTTTTCAACCCATGGGTCTCTTCCCCCCCCTCCCCATTTGCTCTTATCCTCTGTGCCTCTAGAGGATCTCCAGAGCTAAAACTGGACGAACTCAAGCCCTTCACCCCGCCACCATGGATGATTGTGAAGATGCGGAAGTTCATGGACAACCTGCGAGGCGAAGGGGAACCTCAGCCCCCAGTGCCACTTGAGGCGACTCAGGAAACCTAAAGCTTGTCCACCCCGGTCCTCATGGAGGACGACATCTTGGGCTTGTCTCTCTGCCGGATGGCGATGGGTTTGCTCCCTGATAGCCGGGGCACTTGAGGCCACGAGAGAGCAGCCACCAGGCCAGTTCCAGCAGCTCCGGGCACTGTCGTGACACAGGGTCCTTCCCGGGGCTCCCCGTCTTCCTCTTTCTGTATTGGTCCTTGTTCCTGGTTTTGGGAAGAAGCTCAAAAATAAAACGCATCTCTGCAAACTTGCTATCCTGTTTCAAATATTGGTGGTGGTGGTGAAGCAGTGGTACAACAAAAGGCCATGCGGGGAGGGGCAGAAAGCTTCCTGGTTGGAGAGGCTGCTGGGTTTGTGTGTGTGTGTGTGTGTGTGTGTGATGGTGATTGTGAGGATGATGCTTGTCCGTAGAGGTGGGGTCTTTGATGTCTGGGAAGAGGTCCATCAGCAGCAGGAGTTTCTTTCCACGCGACCCGTGTTGTTCGCCTCCTGATGGATCCAGCCCTTGTCTGAACTGCCGTGGAATTATCGGCTGGGCACCTCCAGATGTGTGGCGGTGGCAGCTGCAGGGGGTTTGAACCCAAAAAGAGGGACACAGCCTTTTCCACCAGACTGGCCAGTTTAAGCCAAACAGAATCATGGCAGAAGGGAAAGAGCCACAAAAAGGAAATTAAATGGGGAGGCCTGTGGCTTCGAAAAACAGGGAGGCTTCCTGTGGGAATGACCAGGAGGAGGGAGTTCAACAGGGAGGAAATGAGGGGAAGGGAAGGGTCAGAAGTGGCTAGGGAAAGGGGGACCCAGGTTTCGCAGAGGCTGTGGGGCTTTAGCCTTAGAACTCACAGCCTAAGCCAAGGAAGGAGCATGACTCCAGAGGAGGCACACGGGAGGGAGGAGGAGGAGCAGGAAGACTGGGGAGAGAAGAGGAAGAGTGGAAGTCACGTTAAAAAAATGCAGAAATAACCCAGTGCACCCTCCCTGCCAAGCAACCACCGGACTCCCCCCCCCCACACCCCGTCACGTTAAAAAAATGCAGAAATAACCCAGTGCCCCCTCCCTGCCAAGCAACCCCCGGACCCCCCCCCCCCCATCCCTGCCATCAGCCAGGCTGATGAGACCCCAAGTCCAGCAGCATTTGGAAATCTTCCTGCTCCCCAGTTCCCCACGCTACCCCCCCTCCCCCCGCATCAAAGGTTTTACTTTGCAAGGGGCCTCTGCGCCTCCACTGGCCATTGTGTCTGGTTGTGGGAGGTGACTGGTCAGCCCTCCCTTGCAGGGTCATCATTCATGCATGGCCTCAGGCTTGCTTTGAGCTGGACCATTTGTGGCTCCAGGCGCTCATTGTATGTAATGGCTAAAAGGGACCTCTCTGCTTTCTCCTGGGACTTGATTCCCCCCTTGGCCCTTGTTTTGGATTGTTACAGATCCTGAAAGGTCAGGATGTGTCACAGGAGGAACAAAGCCAAGCTCATCTGCATTCTTGTGTATTGCCAGTTACTATACATGTTTGCGAAAGGTGGGCAGTGAAGAAAGCCTACAGGGAAAAAATGGATTTGTTTGAAATAAAGGTGTGGGAGGAGAGTTTCGCTGATACTGTGAAGAGCCAAAAAAGGCAAATAAGTCCTGCATCAAAAGAAGAGATTGTTTCCAGAAGACCCGAGAAATCAAAGGGAAAATTAAGCCTAGCTTAGGAATGCTGAATGACCAACAAGGAGGCACACTATCTGGCCAGGAGAAAATAAAGAGAAGGTGGGAATAGTATACTGAAGATCTCTATACAGGAGAGAGAAAAAGATGGCAGACTCCTTTGAAGAGGAATCCTGTGACTAAGTAGCTCCAGATTTGGAAAGCGAAGGCTGCTCTGAAAGCACCAGGAAAAAAAAATAAATCGCCATGGGTAGGTGGATGGGATACCAATAGCACTGTTTCAAGCCACAGAAACCAAATGTTAAAATCCTAGCAAGAATATGTCAGTGAAGGGGTCCAGTAAATACATATAAAATATATCTTAGCCTAACCTTAGCCACTTTGCTTTCTGTGACTTGCTTTGCTATATGTATGTTTTCCCTAGGCAGGCAAGAATGCACAAGGGAGGAGGAGGAGGAGAGGGTGCCCATCAAAGTTTCTTCCGATTTACAATTAAGGTATTTCTAACTCCAGGAGGCAGTGGGAGACAGGAAGGCCTGGCATGCTCTGGTCCATGGGGTCACAAAGAGTCAGACACGACTGAACAGCTGAACAACAAAAAAATGAGAAGTCTGACCTTGGAGAACTCTGAGTGTCTTACACCGGCCAGGGAAAAATGAATGATATAGCCTGTTGCCCAGGCGCCTGCAGTCCCTCTTTTTCTCCTCCTTCTCCTTTGCCTCCTGCTTTTCATGTTGAACTTATAAAAATCTATACCTTGGTCTGTGGGGTGCCATCTCCCTCTCATGCTTTTCCTGTGAGTAGAGTTTGCCTTATTTTGCTTACTTTCCACTGAAAATAAACAAATACATATGTATTGGATCTCTCTGTCTCTGGCTGATGAATTAATGTGTTAGAGACAGGCAAAAATCCAGGAATTAGTCCTGGATCCTTCATTGATTAATCTTGGTACCTTTTATCAGCAAATACAAAAAAACCAAACAATGGCCCACGGACTGGAAAAATTCCCTATCAGTTCCAGTCCCCCAGAAAAGAGATGCCAAGAAGTGAAGTATAACTCTAAGACCATTGCTGTAATTTCCCATCCAAACAAAGTAATGCTCAAGGTGTTGCAACAAAGGCTTTTACCAGAAATGCCTGATTTTCAAGATGGATTCTGAAAAGGAAGAGGCACGCTAGATCCTATTGCAAATACCCGCAGGCTGCTGGGAGGTACGAAAAAAATCCTGAAGACGATCAGTCAGTGCTTTATAGACTACAGCAAAGCTTTGGACTGTGCAGCTCACGAGACCCTATGGGTTCTCTCCTTCGATCGTGTGCCACCCTGAGACACACCTCCGTTTACAGTAGAAATTGGATTTACTGTATCCTTTTCTGTCTTAAATGTAACTTTCTAAGTAAAGTCAGGGTTTTTTTTTGGGGGGGGGTTATTTTATTTTAACTGCTTCATATATTTTTATGGGTCTGCATTGGGACTGACTGCCCAGGTATCTATGCTGACCTAACTCTGCCCATAAACAACAAGTTCAAACTGGATTCAGAAGAGACGCTTCAGGTCATGTTACAAATATCTGCTAGCTTCTGTTCAATCCATATGCAGAACATAAGTCCAGACTAAATTCAAAGGAAGGAGGAGTGGGAATGGGCGCAAGAAGCATCAGACATCAATGAATTAGCGAAACACCGAGCCACCCTCCTACAGACCCACATTGGACAAACCTCCTCCTACATCAAAGACTCAGGACATTTCCTAAGCAAGATCAGCACCCTAAAACTCAACCCTGGGGACAGGCTGATCAGCTCTGACGCAGCATCCCTGTTCACCAAGGTGCCGATAAAGGACACCCTGACACTCATCCAGCAGACATCAAGGCCCTTTTCCAACACTGCCTAACGACCAGCTATTTCCAGTGGGATGATGAATTCTATGAACAGACAGATGGTAGTGGCCACGGGGAGCCCCCTCAGCCCGGTTATAGCAAATGTCTACATGGAGCATTTTGAAAAACAGGCCCTGGCTTTGGCGCCCTTCGCACCCACAGTCTGGTTCCAATACGTGGATGACACCTTCGCAATTTGGACACAACGGTGAAGGAAAACTGGAAGAATTTCTCAACCATCAATATACAATTCACCCTGGAAAAAGAAATAAGAGGGCCAGCTCCCTTTCTTGGATGTCATGGCGATACAGCCGGGTAGGTGGGACTTGTTCAGCCCCGGGATACAGCCGGGGAGGTGGGACTCGTTCAGCCCCGGAAAAACTCTGGTTTCAACCCCCCCCCCTTGAGGCGCCGCCACGGTGTCCTCCATGCCGCGACTGGCGAAACGTCAGGAAGAACCACCTCCAGAAGATGGAAAACCCACAACCACCGAACATATCTCAGGCATTTCAGGCATTTCAGGCAGGCGGGCTCATAGGTCTTGCTGGCAGAAAGCAGCCAAGGCTTGAACGGTCTTGAGGGCAGGAGGCAGCAGGAGAAGAGGAAGGCGAGATATGAGACGGGCGGACTCCCTAAAGGAAACCCCGGGCTTGGCCTTGCCTGAGCTCAGCTGGGCTGCGGAAGGGCGGGGCCTTTTGGGGAGGCCATGGAGGCCCACCAGGAGGCCCTCATAGATAGAGGGATTTAGGGGGTGTGTGTGGGGGGGGAGGTAGAGGTCATCCACCTTTGGTCTGTGGGGGGGGGTCAACGTGAGGCCTCGGCGACCTTCTGGCCAGGAAGGGCGATGCGGCCACTACTAGGCAGAACCTCTCTCTCTCTTTTTTTTGAGGACTACAACTCCCAGGACCTTTAAGGGCACCACGCCCAGCGGCCTGGCTGACCGAGGCATTCTGGGAGTTGTGGTCCAACAGGCCCTCCGGGGCGCAGAAGCGGCGGTTTGTGTGACGCCAAGGCCCCTTTAAAGGGGCCCCGCCCACCCGCGCAGGGGCAGCCAATGGGTTCCCTCCGCGCCCGCGAGGGCCGCCGGGACCTAGGGAGCCCGCAGGGCCGGCGGGCCCCCATTGGGCGGATTGAACGCGAGCGCGGCGCTGATTGGCTGGCCGGGCGCGGCTTTGCAACATTCAAACCGGGCAGCCCGGCGAGCGGCGGGCAAGAGTCTGAGGCGACGGACGGCCACCCGCGCAGGGGCAGCCAATGGGTTCCCTCCGCGCCCGCGAGGGCCGCCGGGACCTAGGGAGCCCGCAGGGCCGGCGGGCCCCCATTGGGCGGATTGAACGCGAGCGCGGCGCTGATTGGCTGGCCGGGCGCGGCTTTGCAACATTCAAACCGGGCAGCCCGGCGAGCGGCGGGCAAGAGTCTGAGGCGACGGACGGGACGGG